CAATTACCTGGCTACAGAAAACAGACCTCTTCTTTTTTTATTCGCGTTTTTTTTTTGTCAGTACATTCTTGGCAAGTTTCTTGTTGATTTTTTTCTTTCCGACGTATTTCTCGCGAATATCATTGTCGCGAATATTTTTTTCTCCTATGCAAAACGGAAACTGTCACGCTACAGTTGACGCGTTAATTACGCGTACTTTTTTCTCCTAGATGTGACTGTACTTAGGGGAAGAGGGAGAAGGAGGTTCGCGCCATAGAGACTGTACTTCCTGATTCTTTCTTTGAGATGAAAGGGCTTCAACCTTACTGCTCCTTCCGGGCGTTATGTTTTCATGGGGTGAGATTGCCGACGTTGCCTGTACGCGTCGCTATTCCGTCATTTTCCAGAAGGGCGTTCCAGATTGTAGGACGACCATTTTTCAGGTCACTTCTGGTTTTCCCGCAACATTTTATTCCATAGAAACCAATATAAGAATAAAAATCGTGGGCAGAATAATCGTGAAACTGCCCCTTCAAGTCACTTGATCGGTGAAATTTGTATCCGTCGTGTTTGACTACCGGCCATGATTTTGACTGTGATTTATTTTTCAGAAGGGATACAGCTCAAATACGGATTTATTTACGGATTTATATTACATTTGAAAAGCATTCGAGGGTTTGTTGATGATTGATGATAAAAAAAAGCAATATAAAAACGTCGGGGAACGCAAGGCACCGCGCATCACAATATTCGCGATGTTATTACGAACTTTGATGAACATGCGAAACTATTTGTCGAATAAATGGGTGGAGACATCCGGAGGTTTATTTTACTGTAAACCTCTACTTTTGTAACGGATGCAATAACTACGTCATCCGCGCATTCCCGTCGTGGAGTTACGGGATTTTTGCGTTCACACAAAAAGACATATATATAGAATATATATATTTATTGGAAGACGAGAGTGTACTCGGAGTGTGCATCGCACAAAGCGCTCTGTAGAGAAAGATAAAGTTAAAATAACAAACGGAACGAATATTTTCAAATTAAATTTAAAAATCAATTTATACGTACAGAAAATGTTGAAGAAATATTTATTATTTACTTTTTCGTAAAAAAATGTTTTCCCAATATAAACCACGCCTTTGTACTATCAACATCTAAGAAATATTTCAGCCTATTTATTGTTAATTTAGGGATATTTTGATAATTCCGATTATATATGATTGTTTATCGCGGTTCATAGATTGTTTGAATATTACAGAGAGAAAAAATTTGCTATAAATACAAGAGACATTACAAAATTTAATTGTCAAATTTGTTTTTTATTTATAGCAAACACATTTGCGTATTTGACAAATATTTTGCATTTATTACAAATAATTTTTTGTAGCGAGTACAAAAAAAAAGGATTTATTATACCTGCAAATAATTTTGCAATCCTTATATTTACAAATATAATTTGTTGTCATAATGTAGGATTAGCGTTTATAGCACATTGTTTCTGTCTGTGATTATAATTGCGTTAAGTTATAATTAAACAGTTATAATTAAATAAGGAAAGACTACAGCTACTCTTCAAATTCTTTCTCTTTAATAATTAATGCAATTTTCAATAATGAGTAAACTAACGTTTACTTGCAATAATTAACGTAGGGTTTATTGACGATTTAGGTGAAATTATTTCGTAATATGAATGTGTGTAAAGTATTGTTTTAAATTGATGTCATTGATCTCATACATCACATTAGATTATTGTAGGTATTATTCTGTCTCGTATTATTTGGCCAAAACTGGAGTCATATACATGTCAAACGGAATTCGATAGCTTCAACAACCGTAACACTGATTATAGCATTGGAAGTGCTATGTCGTGAGCCCGGTAATGAAGTTAACGTCGTACGAGAGAGAGAGAGGGTATGTGTGTGTGTGTGTTGTGTGTGTATGTGTGTTACAAAGTGACGACCTCACATTTCAACTTA